AATAAATAAATCCACATGTCAGCTAGGTGTCGCTGACCTGGCGGGACACCTGGCGGACACGTCACCTCTGGCGAGCCACGCGGGCGTATCCGGCGCTGGAGGACTAAAACAGCGAAAATTTTTCACTTAAGGGACTAGTTTGCGACAAGCTCCACTTACAGAACTAAAATAATAAAGGGGTCCAGTTACGGGACTAAAAAAATAGTTTACCCTATGTAATTTTAAAATTATTATATATTATTTATATATAAAAGAAAAAATTCGGCCCATTGAAAAAATATTTATGACTCCACCGCTGATTTTGGGTATGAATCAACATATATTTACATAGTTCAGTCTATTATTTAATTTATTGATATGAATCATATCTCGTACTACTTTGTTATATAATTGATCTATTATGTTTATAGTGTTTATTTAGATTTATGTATTTGGGGTTAACTTTGCAAGTGCTAATTTCCTATGGATATAGGAAGGGTGTAGCAGAATGTATTAGTTATGTTTGAGTGTGTGATTTTATTGGTCTATAGTACTTATCCGAGTATAATTTATTATTTGTGTTTTGATTTAAATAGTAGTTCGTGTGATATTTTGCAAAAATATATATTTTTTTTTTTCAAAGTGCAGATTAAATCGTAAGTTTTTCATTTGAAATAAAAAACAAGCACAAATAAAATATATTAATTATAAAAAATTAAAGTAATATATATATAATGAATATAAAAATATTTAAAAAAATACAAATATATAAAACAAACTAATAAAGTAATTAATAATATATAAAGAAATATCTTTACAAATATATTGGAAATAAATATATTAAAATAACTTTAAAATATAAAAAATAAGAAGAATCTAAAATAAATTTAAAATATAAATAAGAAATATATCTATATATATCCAACATTCTTCCACATGTCTAATATTATAAAAAAATTTGAACCAACAAGGCTAAAAATCTAGTATAGTAGGTGTAAGTATTTCAACTTTTTTATTTTTATTTTTAATTTTGCTTTGTTTGTAAGAGACACCAAAAAGCTCTATTTTTTTTTTTTTTTATTAGAGTTATTGTATTCTCTGATGCTGCGGGACTATTGCTATTGTTCATTAATTTGAAATTACCCCGTGATTAGGACTTTTCTGAAGTTCTGGATTTGTGTGCTAATTATTTATACTTCAAAAGTACCAATATTCTTCTTTCTGCTGCTGCAATTTATGTTTGATTCAAATATAGAAAAGCAAATTTTGCAGTATATATATTTTAATTTAACTATTAATTTATTTATTATTACACTTTCCAATAAATTTGATCTATTTGATTTATTTTTAATATAAAATTTATATAATAAAAAAATACATAAAAAAATTAATAATATCTATATTATTACTTAATTTAATAAATTAATATATTTTACGAATAAACTAAATATATATTGATATTTGTGTAAGAAAAATAATTAATTTTTAAAGACAAATATAAATAAATAAAATTAGAGTGAAAATAATATTTTGAAAAGTTAGTATGATAATTTTTAAAAATGAACTTTTAGGTCAATAAGAAATTTCAAAAAACTAATTTAACAAATAGTTAAATTAATTTCTTTACTGGTTAAACAACCAAGAGTTCTTTCAAATTGCTAAAAACTATTTGAAAAATTATTTTGCAAACCCCCTCGATCTATATAAAAAGAAAAATCTAGATAAATTGAAAATATAAATAAATAAATAAAAATCATATGTATTCAATGTTCTAGAACCATCAATGTGATACTATAAAAATCAATGAACTGATAAGTGAAACAAATATTAAAGGCAATGACTAAGAGTAGGTGTAAGCATTTCTGACATTTTCTTTCTTTCTTTTTTCTTTCTGGCTTTGAAAACTTGTTTAATTCCAAGAAGAAGCAGTAAACAATTTATTATTTCCAAAACAACCTTTGATTTAAAATCTTTTTTCTTTCCTTTTTTTTTTCCGTTTCATATATATATATATTGTATTGTTGTATACTTTATGCTACTGCTCATAGTTTTGAATCATTCTTCTTGGCTGCACAGTACTACGTTCTTATTTAAATGGTTTATTATATTTATAGTGTGTACGTAGGGTTTGTTTGTTTTTTGTTTTAATTTGAGATATATATTTTTTTATGTGATATGTAAAAAATTGTATAAGTAATATAAAAATATTATTTTATGTTGAATGTTGATATTGTGTGAGATTATAAACTATAAATATTTTATTATTCAGAATCATGTTTGAAAAAAAATTATTTGAAGAACAAATCCTTGATTTTTATGTAGTTATGACTCAATTTTCCAAATGCTAATTTTATGTAGATATAGGAAAGAAATTTGTGACAAAATATATTAGTTATGTTTGTATATGTAATTTGATCCATATAGTACTATTCATGTGATTATGATAGAATTATCGAAATCGAATTTTTTTGTTTGAGTTTTGATTTAAATAATATTTTATTGATATTTTATAAGAATAAATAATATATATATTTTTTTATTATGAACATGCAAGTTGAATAGTAATCTTTTATTTAATATAAAAAAAAGACTAAAAAATGTATCATTATAAAAATAAAGTAAAATATAAAACGAATATAAAAAATATTTATAAAATTAAAAATATGCAAAATTAATAAAATACATAAAGAAATGTATTTATACATACAATATATATATATTCAATTGTAAAAAATTAACTATTTCAAATAATATAAAAAAAATTATAGAAAAGTCTAAAATAAATTTAAAATATATACAACTATTTTATAACATCGGTGCTGTAAAAATAGCACAAGAAAAAAAATGGGTGCGATTGGCCCACCAAAAAAAAAAAACTCAATTTAAAATATTGTAAAAGATTCTAAAATAAAATAAAAATATAATTAAATGAATAAAAATATGTTGAACCTTCTAGAACGATCCGGTGCATACTATATAAATCTTCAATTGTGGGATTAGGGTTATTGTATATTTTCAGAGACGGTGCTGCTATTGTTCTTGTTCATATTAGGGTTTCTAGAAAGCCAAAACGAGATCTTGGCACCAAAATTTGGAACAGAAGAAAACTGAGAAGATCAGGCTGTGGCTGAGGATTGGGAATCGATTGTTGGGCGATGGATGCAACAGACAGGTGTTGGTTCTTTGGATGATGAATCAAATACTATTCTGAGGTAGGTTTTGTAGAATTAATTAAGAATTTAAAGTATGTACCTTTACTGTGATGAAAACTATGATGCATAAATCAATGTCATTGGATTTTGTTCTTATCAAACTCCACCATATCTTTGAATATTTTATCTGTGCATTTGCTTGTCCAATAGGACATACAAATTCAAGGAGCCAGCCGAGACGAGAGCCAGATAGAGAATGCAGCAGTATATGAGATTCCACCCGGATTTCGCATTGTCTTACGGGGCATCAATGTTCAGCATCAGGATATAATCGACGATATGATTTACCCCCAAGAGATGCATTACAAACCAGCAGCGTCGAAAGATCCGAATGTAAGCGCATTTGTTGTGTTTGTTTTTGTACATATGTCCCCCAATTTTTCTTGTTCGATTTCCTTGCATCGATGCAGATGTCCGCGATGGGGATGATTGGATTCATCAAAGACGCAAAACACTGTATCGACGTACAAGGATTCAACGTATACCACAAGAACTGCCTTACCAAGGTTCGCTGCGCCGTATATCTCCCTGTTTTGATCCATTTTTACGACTTTCAATTTTTCTTAACAGCCTTTCTGGAGGGTTTGGAACCCAGCTGGAAGCCACGGCAGAGGAGTCGTCGGTACGCTGTCCATCCCTATCGTTGGGTAGAACACATTTTATCGTAGGTCATGTTAACATTGGTCGTGTTTCAGGTGTCCTCGAAGCGAACTTTGTCGATCCGGCGCACGATAAACAAGGATTTGAGCGAACGACCACCCTGTCTCAGCTTGAGTCACGACTTAAGTCCAGCCAGAAAAACTCCTGGTTTCTCATCTTGCTCAAAGTTCACTTTGATTCGGTTCAAACTGCCGGTTTCGAACTTTATGGTCGATTTACGCTTTCTGCAGATCCCGAAATTGCCATCTCGACTGAATACTGACAAGATTAGCGCTATCAAATTTCTTCATTCATCTGAGTGGACTGATCGACGCTGGATGAGCCCTTTTCTCGGACGGACCTCAAGTATTGCCTCGAGGAACCCAACAAAGCTGTTTGGATTGATGCACCGGAAGATAATTCTGTTCTTGAGGGATCTTCTTAGCCAGTAGGTAACAAGTTGTAATTTTGTGGGATCATAGTCATTGTATGTACTTAATTCAACATTGGAAATGAGCGTACATTGTAAGTTCAATAGGGTTTTGATTTTTTGTGGTCGACCTACCGATTGTAAGTATTTTGTTTGTCCAAAGCACACCAATTATGCAAAGGGGATACATTGATTTTTCGATTGATTGACACTTGCAAGTATGAATTTTAATTATTTCTAACCTCAAAATATATATATATATATATATTCTCATAGGTAAGATAATTTGCTTGATTGGTAAGTAAGTTATATATGTTTGAATGTATATGCATAGGAATAAAGGCTTTGGCCGAATGTGTTATATATGTTTGAATGTATGGTCTAATCTACCAATAGTATTCGTTCCTATGATTCTGATAAATTATTGAATATCTTTAGAACAACAATCGAATATTTTTGTTTTTTTCCAGAACCTCATGATGCATGCGATTACATTATGAATGATTGACTGCGTTGATAGATTAGATTCCCTATTTTGTCGTTTCCTGCTCTAATTTAATTTTTTTCCCTTCGTGCATATTAATGTTTATTGTTTTCATCAATACAATGCTCTAGCACATCAATATCGAATAGTAGTTTACATTAATTATCTCTAGGATGTTTGCGACTTAAACTAGAGTTTAACATGTGTAATTGTAAAAATGCATATAAACATGTATAGCAATTCTTCAATAGTCGGAAATAAGCATTTCACTTAGATATGTTAAAAAAATATTCAGAAATTTGTACTGCTTCCTTACAAAGCAAAGCAGCATAGCAACTGCAGTAGGAAATACGAATTCCCTATAAATTATTATTATTAATAATATTATTATTATTATTATTATTATTGAGTAGTGGTAGTAGTCGAATCATCAATAAACTGCCGGTACCTGTTGAAGAACCACATGGAGTCGGCTTCCACCGCGACCCTGTCCTGGTTCTGGTGCCAGTTGTAGTGCGCGTGTGTCCTGTTCTTTATAGCGAATGTCACATGTCCGAAGCTCGCCTCCCGGAACGCCGAATATTTCGGCTGTGGCTCTGTCATGTTGACATTAGACCATCCGCAATGAAGATATCCGCTTTTGGGTACCTCCACTACTTTTTGTTATCCACTACATAATTGTCAGACATAAGAACAAAAAATAATATTGTCTACAGAATAAATCTGTGTGCGCAAATAATCTCGCAATGCTTACTTGCTTGATTTTTTAACTAAAATCCGAGTGTTGCTTTGTTTTATCCTCGTACGAATTTCGTGTAACTCGGGGCGTTAATAGGGTCGAAATATCGTATAAGCCAAGCGAATCTTTGCGACTCAAAATATATCCAAAATCGTGTATACCCTGCGAAATACGATTTATTCGTATGTTCATTCAATCTAGATTATTTCTCCAAACAAAAAATATATATTATTACTGATTATTTTAAAAAACACGATGATTATATCAAGAAAGCACAATATTAATTATGAAATAGCACAACAATAAAATTTAAAAAACAGAAAGATTACTTCAAAAGAACAAAATAAAATTTTCAAAATAACACAATAAAAAAAAAAAAAATGAGAGTGTACGGCATCGGCTTTCGAATAAAAGATCCTAGTAGCAAATCAAAATATATAATTAATTATCCGAACTAATATTTATTATAGTTAACCTTAATTAATAACAATAGCATAAGCAGAGGCAGATGCTACGCAGATGGTAAAGCTCAGTTGAAGACTGAAAAGGATGAGGGCAGACATGCAGTAAAATCAATGAACTAACAAAGTGGGTTTGCGTGTATATGTTAATAAAAATTTGAAATTCTGATTGTTGTGATTTGGTGATATATGAATCCATACTATCTAATAGTGCAATAAACATTAAAAAAAAAAAAAAAAAAAAGAAGAGCACAATAGTTATATAAGGGGAGCACAATTGTTATATATCGAAACCAAACTGATTATATCATAAAAGCAAAATAAACTATGAAATAGCACAACAATAATATTTAAAAAAACACAAAGAATACTTTAAAAAAAAATTAAAATATCACAATAAAATGCGACACAGACACAATATGCATATAATATATATAAACTTAATTTTTGTATATTATGTAAGTCATATAGTGCAATTAAATATCAAAATAGTTACTGTAAATGCATAATTCAAACAATGAACCACTGGATCATCCATGTATAAACTTCTCTCATAGATAAATCAAATTGCAGAATATAAGCCACCACATAAAGATTTGGACACAACAGTGATTCATACTAATTTGAGAATGCACAAAAAAAAAAACAAAAAGGAAAGGTATCCAAAAAATTGATATGAAAAACACAATGATCATATCACAATAGCACAATAATTATATCACAAAAGTACAATATTAATTCTAAAATAGGACAACAATATTATTTAAAGAGTACAACAGCAGACATACAGGTGATGATCAATTTAAAAATAGAGAGAGATAAGAATGTAAGACGCAATTGAGATTTTTTTTAAAAAAATAAAATGAAATAAATAAGAGATAATCGTAGACAATATGTTATAATTAAAAAAAAAAAGAAAAAAGAAAAAAGAAAAAAATCAAAAATTGATATGAAGAGCACACTTATTAATTATAAAAAAACAAAATAAGGATAATTATTTATTGTGTTTTATACAATTCTCTTTCTATTCATCTTCTGCAATCATTTGGTTTATCTTCTTATGTATTTTTTATTCTTATTTCATTCACTTGTTCTAAATATATAATTACTTAATTTATTAATTTATCAATTTAGTTAATTTTAATTTGTCTTCTATAATTTTAATATTACGAGTACTTATATTTATTTATTTAATCTATTAATTTTTACTTCTTGCTAGGGAGAATATAAAAATATACAATATTAGATTACTTATATTTATTTATTTAATCTATTAATTTCTAGTGCTTGCTAAAGGAGAACATAAAAACATACAATAAATTAATTATAGGCATCTAAATCGGTAGAAAGAAGACAACGTTCCTAAGAGGAAAGCGATGCTGTAGGGAAAAAGTGGGTGCGGACGGACCGCGCACCAAAAAAACTCTATTTAAAATATTATAAAAATTTTTAGAATATAATAAAAATATAATTAAATGAATAAAAATATATTGAACTTTCTAGAAGGATCTAGTGAATACTATATAAATCTTCAACAGTGAAATTAGGGTTAATGTATATTTTTGCGGCGCTATGGTTGCGTGTTCAAATTAGGATTTACGATGTAATAAGGGCTTTCTCTGGTTCGGGTTGGTTGATTTTGTGTTTTTTTTTTTTTTTTAATTTCCAGTTGATTTGCTTGTTTGATTTTCGTTTATTTGTTTTGTTGCTTCACTTGAAGTTATGAGAGGCAAAATGAGATTGACACCGCAATTTGAAACAGAAGAATACTGAGAAGATCTGGCTGGGGATTGAGAATCAATTGTTGGGCCATGGATGGAACGGTGGTGAGATACGTGTTGGTTTTGCTAATGATGAATCAAATACAATTCTGAGGTAGGTTTTGTAAAATTGATTAAATATTTAAAGCAAGTATCTTTACCGTGACGAAACTATGATGCATCAATTAATCATGCAATACTCATTGGATCTTGTTCTTATCAAACTATACAATCAATTATGAGTGAAGGGGAAGGACTTGGATCAAACCCGAAAAATCTTCAGCTCACTCTTGGCTACGAAATCTTGAAATCATCCAGGAGTGGTGGCCGTTCGACAAAGATCTCCTTCGTCAGGTAGCTTTTGAATTGATGACTAAGAACAGATACTATTCCTAGATGACGAACAAAAATTTATAGTTTTCTCCTCTGCAGTTCGATTTCTTGGATGAACAAGGAACGCGGATCATAATCTACAATATTTGGGAAGACGAGGGATCGCCTCAATTGGATTTCGACACAGTTGAACACATTTTATCGTCGGTACGCTGTTCAGCTATAAACGACGGCAGAGGAGCCGTTGGTACGCTGTCCATCCCTATCGTTGGGTCGAACACATTTTATCGTCGGTCATGTTAACATTGGTCGTCTTTCAGGTGTCATCGAAGCGAACTTTGTCGAGCTGGCGCATGATAAACAGGGATTCGTGTGAACGACTGCCCGGTCTCGGCTCGGGTCGAGACTTATGTCCAACCAGAAAAACTACTGGTTTCTCGCCTTGCTCAAAGTTCACTTTGATTCTGTTCAAACAACCAGTTTCGATTTTTATGGTCGATTTATGCTTTCTGCAGGTCCCTAAATTGCCATCTCATCGGCTACGCTCAGCGGCACGGATCCGAGAAATGTGCTTCACCCGAGCCAGCTATAAAATGTCTTCATTCATTTGAGTGGACTGATTGGCGCTGGATTTGGGGAGGAGACATCTTTCTTGTTCGGACCTGTGTTGACAGCGACAGACTTGTGAGGGCTAACAATTTTCATAAACCCTATAGGTTGACTCATCCAATTAAGAAAAAAGAAGGATAACATGCCAGGACGGATGAGCCTTTTTCTCGGACGAACCTCAAGTATTGCCTCGAGGAACCCCACGAAGCTGTTTGGATTGATGCACCGGAATATAATTCTGTTCTTGAGGGATCTTCTTAGCTAGTAGGTAACAAGTTGTAATTTTGTGGGATCATAGTCATTGTTTGTACTTAATTCAACATTGGGAAGGAGCGTACATTGTAAGTTCAATAGGGTTTTGATTTTTCGCGGTCGATCTATCGATTGTAAGTATTTTGTTTGTCCAAAGCACACCAATTACAAGTATGTCCAAAGCACACCAATTACGCAATAGGGACATTGATTTTCTGATTGATTGACACTTGCAAGTATGGATTTAAAATTGTTTCTAACCTTAATATTTATATATATTCTCATGGGTAAAATGATTCATGCGCGCAAATGAGACATCCTAAATTTTGTATTCACTGGCTAAGATAATTTGCTTGATTGGTAAGTAAGTTATGGATGGTTTTCGCAAGTGCTTTTGTGTGGATATGCATAGGAATAAAAGCTTCGGCTAAATGTGTTTTATATGTTTGAGTGTGTGGTTTAATCTACCAATAGTACTCATTCCTATGATTCTGATAAAGTATAGAATCTTTAGAGCAACAAAATGTTTTTGTTTTTCTAATTGAATGTGTTAGATTTCGTAATAATTGGCAATTTGAATTCGGATAACGAATTCTTTTTCCAAAACCCTCATGGTGCAAGCGATTCCATTATGAATAATTGGCTGCATTAGATAGATTAGGTAGTTTCCTCGTTTTGTCTTTTCCTACTCTTAAATAAATATAACCCTTCGTGCAGGTTAATATTTATTGTTTCCTTCAATACAATGCTCTAGCTAACATCAATATTAATAGTAGTTTTACATTTATTATCTCTACGATGTTGGCGACTTAAACTAGAGTTCCACAAATATAGCTATAGTTCTATAGTCGGAAATAAGCATTTCCTTTAGATATTTTTAAAAAATATCCAGAAATTTGTACTGCTTTCTTACAAAGCAGCATAGCAACTACAGTCGGAAATACAAGTACCCTATAACAAATTACTATTATTATTATTGAGCAGTGGTAGCAGTAGAATCGTCGATAGAATGCCAATACCTGTTGAAGAACCACATGGAGTTGGCTTCCACCGCGACCCCATCTTGGTTCTGGTGCCAGCTGTAGTACGCGTGTGTCCTGTTCTTTATAGCGAATGTTGCATGTCCGAAGCTCGCCTCCTGGAACGCCGAGTATTTCGGCTGTGGCTCTGTCATGCTGACATTACATTACAATCATTTAAGCCTTCGTTAAATCAAATATTTATTTTTAGAAGAATCAAATCAAATATTTATTTTTTTAATATATTAAAAAATTTTAAAATTTTCATTTGAAACATTACATTTTATGTGTGTGTTTCTTACTTGGTAGCGAGGCCTTCGAGATTTCCCCCATCTCCGATGATTATGTAAACATGGGCCGATTGGTCTCTCATCGGTGTACAAATTCCATTCACAACATTTTACGCAATATTAGACACGAGTTCCTGAAATATCTATCATTTTATAGAGAACAAACACGTACAAAAGTATATATACCTATATAAAGATATGAAACTGATTTTGATGGAAGAATGTGAATCAAAGCAATCAATCTGTGGCTGTTTGATGCAACATACCGATCGTTCATAGGCATGTACATGGCCAGCAAACACGACGTCGACTTTGTATTTGACGAACCACGGCTCGTACATAACTTTCACGGTTTCTCCTTCCATGTAGTGGTAGTTGTAGCTGTTGTACCATGGAGAATGCATCAGCACAATCAGCCATGGCGTCTCCGATCTGTTCACCTTCGGCAGCTCCTCTTCGAGCCACGTGTATTGAGGAGTGTATTTACCTTTCAAAAGGGAGCAAAAAAGAATAACAAACAAGTAGTCGCACGCCATTTTGACCAGTTTTGCGATTGCATTTTGTTTATTTACCGACCGTATGCTGAATAAGAAGCCAGAACTATGATATGTGTTGAATAGAGTACCAAAATGGTTCGGTGCTCTTTGATGCTTTGTAAGGGACGTGATAATGATGCTTATAAGGCTTGAATGGTTTCGTTTCGCCCTGCAAAGATTTAACAGCTGTAAGCCTAGTTGATCCCGTACAACATATGTTACCATTGATTTCAGCATAAAAAAATATATTCATACAACACACCTAAAAGTATAAACGGACAACACATTCTTTAATTTCATCTCCTAAATTATCAGATATCTACTCATCCTCTATTCCAACAGCGAGCATAAACATAATTCTTTTTCAGAAATGGAATTTGAGAAGCTCAAGCACTTATGATTAAATGAAAATATGGATTGATTCTATGATATGATCCCTCTAATGAAAGAATGAAAGAAATTGCACAGTTAAAGGAGACCAAGAACACTTACAATTTTAGGATCGAAATTGGTCTCATGATTTCCAGCAGTCTAAATCCAGGGTTGGAAAGCCACACTCCTCTCCACAAACCTCCCCCATGAATCCCACCTCCTATTGTCAAGGAAATCATACCTATCAGCATAAGAAAGATCGCCAACAAACAACAGAGTCTGCCCCTTCTTCGGATTCTTCTCATAATGTGTAAGTTTCTTGATTGAGTCGTAACTCTGCCCCAAATACCCTGTCAAAAAGCTCACGAAACTTCAATTCAATCATTTTGAAGCACTGGGAAGTTCCAAGTTTAGGCTATGATATTTAAAGCTCTCCAAGACCATAATACAGCATATTATGTATCTTGCCTATCCAACAAGTATGTATACAAGTAGATATATATGTATATATGTATGTATGTATGTATGTATATAACTATAAGACCAAAAGTATATGGAGTATCAGGTCCAAACAGGTGGAGGTGTAGTGAACCAGAAAGTTCTTGTTGTGTGTTCAATACCCATCTCGTAATAGTATTTGGTATTATACTGCCCAAAACCGCTCTTTTGATGCACATAATCAAAGTTTTTCTCCTATTCAGGAATCAAAAACAAAGTATCCAGAAGAAACACATAAAGAAGATACACAAGTGCAGAGAGTCTACCTCCAGGAATCAAAGTTGTAAAATGTGTACCTTCCCCTCTGCCTTCTTCTTCTTCTTCCTCTCATTGCTCTTCTCAGCCCAATACAGCACTGTGCTCGAATCTTGTTCATCTACAGTTACCCACAATACAATCATTGCTTTTCCTTCATAATCTCCCTGCCTAATATGCACCTGAAAATAATAAATAAAAATCCAAAACAAGTTTACTCCCAAGTCCTTCCTTCCTTCCGCAACAATATCAACACCTACCTACCGTACCTCAATCCCATCGCCTCCGCCGCGACCAGCCGCACATTGACGCAGAGTATCCGACAATTTGCGCCAAGTCCCAAGTGTGATGATGAAATGGATAACGACGGAGCACTCATTGTAGAAAATCGTTATGGGAATGTGAACTCTCTCACTCCAGTTGACTTTCGTTACGTTCCTTCCCTTCGGTTGCTCGTAGTGATTAGAGGATCACAACGCCATATTTAATCTGCACCGTTCATTGCGGGAGAGTCATTTCCTCTGCGGCTATTTTTACCACGGCGTTCGAATTCTAAGAGCGTATTGGAGATGGAAATTTTGTCGTCTATAGGAGATGTTCTAATCATTATGAAAATTTATTTATCTTTTTATATTTTTTAAAAAAAAAATTTGATTTGCATTTTCTATTAAAATCATATGTAATTGAAATATTTTGTGAATATACTATTTTCGAAAAATATAGAGCTCAAATAATAAATAATTAAGTTTAAAACCAATATAAACACACTCTAAATTATTACTCTGTACTTATTTATATGTCTATTGATAATTATATATATTTTTTTTCATTAGTGTTTAATTAATTAATGATAGGGAGTTATAATATTATTATTAGTTAATTAATGATATTTATATTATTTAAAATAAAATTAATATATATAATTTAAAAATTAAACTATGTATTTCAATATTTTAATATTAATGATCTTTATTTTTTTATGGGTTCCATTAAAGATGATTAATTTATAAATTTATTCATTTTAACTATATTTGACCAATATAAATTAATTAAATTAAATTTCTAATTTGTAAACACTGAAAATCCCTTTTTTTATATCTTTTTTTAATAAATAAATATTTTTATCAATATTTAAAACTTAATATTATATATATTTTATTGAAATATAATACTAAAAATATTTTAAATACCAACAACTAAGATAATAAATAATATCATAATTTATTTTATAAAAAATGTGAAATTTTAAATAAAAATAAAAATATTTTTTGAAGAGACAAAAATAAAGTGGTTTTAAGTGAGTATGGATATTATATATTATGTAATTTATTAAATTAATTGATATTTTTTAATTATATTTGAATTTAATAAATTTATGGGATAAATTAAAAAAATATCCAATATTGTAGAAAGGATGAAATGTTTAATAGATTATTGCTTTTTTATATATAAAAATATAGACTTGAGAATAACATAGAGGAGGATTGTTGTGTTATTTGGGCATGTGAATTTGACATGTCATTAAATATAATATAAATAAATCATATATATCTTTATTTAAATTAGACACAAAATTATTTAGCACTATTTGGTAAAATAATTTAAAAAATTTTAGACAGCTTTATAAATATACATACAATAAGCAAATCATTAATATGTAATTAATCAACAATATATGTATATAAATACAAATAATATATTCCTAAGATCTATTTAACACTATTTGGTAAAATAACTTAGAGAAAAATTTTGACAGTTATATAATTACAAACAACAATATACCTAAATACAAAATTTAGGTAGGTTATGTTTCTTTTACTCCAAATATCAAATTTTTATGGTTTGAATTCTGTATTTTTCGAAGAAAAAAAATACGTTTTTTCTTTTCATAAAATATCACATCATACATTATTTTAATACCAAAGTCAAATCAATTTTTTTTTCAAACTCAGGCAAAGAAACATACCCATAATAAACATATATGAAGCACTATTTGATATAAAATTTAAAATATTTAAACAATCTTATATATATATATATATAGCTATATACAACACACTGTTAATGTTTATATGCAATACTAATAGCAATAGATAGCACATAATCAATATTCTTTCAACACACTAAAAATTGAATATATATATAACATTTTTTTCAAAAAATTAATAAACTACACATAGTCATTATATTTATATTCCCTACACAATTTCTTATATCTCACATCACAAAATTTACTTTTCAACAATCTAACAAAACAAACATACTTATTCTTATATATTAAACACATTGAATATATAGTTAACAATGTACACTAACGCCTCCAGATCTACCTGCTACATATGGTTCATTTAGTGTGACTTGTCTTGTCGAGTGTAGTTTTGCAAGGCATTAGGCTCTTGTCATATGAATGATCGGATGGTTGAGATTAGATAAATATAGTGTATTGTGTGATATTATCAATTCATGTATGATATTTGTACTATTATATTAATGTTAATAATATTTAACGTTTTTCTCATTTACTTTGGTTTATATTTCATATGTCATTGACATAATATTGAAATTAAGTCGAATATGATAAATAAATTATTATTATTTTTTTTTTTACTTGTCTTTCTTCGTCGTGCAAGAAATAGAATGCAAAGAAAAATAAGAATATTTCAGAGTATGTTTATTTGTTAATTTGTTTGTTTATTTTATTTTACTATTTAGTTTTCATAGTTTTCTTTAAAAATATATTATTATAATCTCATAAATGTTATATTAAAATAATTATTCAAAAAAAAATATATATCACCGACTAAATATAAAAATATTTTTTGACGAATTCCCAATTCAATAGAACTTTTTCTTATTTGATTTATCATTTTCTCATAAATTATTCCTCGAATTTTTCATTTGGTACACATCATCCCCTCTATATTATTTATCCAGATTGTTGTAATTTCTTTTTATATATTTCTATTTTACTAAATAATAAAAAAAAAATTAACTCTAATTTTCTATTGATTTTTTAATTTTTAAATTTATTTCTTTACCATGATTTTTTTACAATTGTATTATTTATAAAAACGCTATTTTTAATCAACACGCATATAACACATATTTTTAAACATTAAAATACTTAAATAATTATTTTAAATAAAAAAACTCCAATTCTAAATAAAATTTTAAAAACAAATGGAAGCTAAATTAAAATTAAAATTAAAATTTCAAAAAACAACTGAAAGCTAAATGATGAATAAAGCGATCAAGTGAGGTCATACACGGAAGTCAATGACAAAAGTTTCGTAAAAAATAATCTGATAGTGTAGAAGTAGACTCGGGACGGGATGTGAACTTATGAACATAAAGTTTCTAGCTCCACCTGTCACAAGTATGGTTCGCCCAATTGGAAGTTTACACAGTGCGCACTTTCGGATAGCGGCTGCGGATTCCCACGCTAACATTTTATTTTAACACACGCGTGCACACACATGCCAATTTTATTGGGATTGTCCAGGTTCGAACCCATACTTGAGTTCTTATAAGGGTGTCAATCCGTTTTTCTGGTCGTATTTGTGTGTCGGGTTAAGCCGTGAATATTACAAAAAGTCTAATAATTCGAATACGATATGAATTTTTTCGGGTCAGATCTAGGTCAATGATTTGTTTCAAGTCATCTGATAACTCAAACAAATATGAAAAACCTAATACGAAATAGTCCCGATAATCTGAAAATTTTAAACTTATTTAAAAAACCCAATGCAAAAACTTAATTTTGTTTGTTTATAATTAGTAAGTTATTTATTTTTTATAATTTTAACTTTTTTATATTATTTTATTTCTAATATATTAATTTGGAGCAAATATCCAAAGTAGTCCCATTGAAATCTTATTATTATTATTTTTATTTTTAGTCTCATTCAAAAATATTTATCAAAACTAATCCCATTAAAAAACTTATTCATCAATTTTTGTCATGTGTAGTGATTCATATCCAACACTAGCCTTTTCTATAGAACACGCCCGTGTTTTTATTTCCAGACCTACTATCCAGCTGTAAAAGAGGAAGCGCTGACGAATTTTTATAGGAATTTCTGTTCCACAACCTGATTATTATATTCTTTGACCAGTCCGCTTCCTTTTTAATTTTTGCTTGATTGAGAATGGAGTCGGACAATTTCAACATATCAGAGTTATTTTGGTTTCAAAGGAATAACCATCATCCGCGGGACCATCCAGTTCCGGTGATGCGAGCAGCAGTTGAAGATAGAGTTCAATTTGCAGAAGATGTTCGGGGAAGTGGTGGCGTGTTTCCGGCAGCACCAAGCTGAAGAAGCTCAAGTATTTCAGCAAACACACGAAAAACCACCACACATTAGCCGGAGGTCGGCTCCTTAAGGAGCAGAAAAATCGGATTGTTGATATTGTCATCGAAACTCGTCGGCGCTCTTCCTTTCTCTGACCTTCTCAGCTGGGCATCTACGTGACAATGATATGTCAGCTGCGTCAACGGCGGGCCAACGTGGCGAGTTCGACACCCGAAGACTATTTTAGCGAAAAAATTTTACTTGCGGGACTATTTTCAGAGATGGTCCATTTAAAGTCATAAAATGATAAAATAGATCAAATTCGAAACTAAAAAGATAGTTTATCCACAGAAAAGTGACAAATTAGTTATTATTTCTTAAATTAAGAATAATAAAATTTTGAGTTGATAAAATTATTTATTATAAATAGATTGTATATAAATTTAGTGGACAAAAAATAAAATAAAATAGTGATACGATTTTATATATGATATTTGCACATTAGAATATGTTGAATCAACCTTTTATTTTTTTATCTAGAAACTTATCCAAATAGTTACTACACAAATTATAATGATGTTTTATTGCAATATAAGTACAATATATGACACTACAAAAAAAATAGTATATTTGTAACGGAATTTCTTCATTAAAGTTCGCTTAGCTAACGTAATTTTATCCCTAATTCCGTCTCTAATGTCATTAGTAATAAAAAAAAGTGAATTTATGGACAAAAAAGAATTTGTTAAAAAATGATATTTTCTTGTAGTGTGATGTCTTAAAATGATGTTCACATGATCATAAATTGAGGCAACATTTTTTAATACATGAAATGTTCATTATGACTCATAAGTTTGACATTTTTATTAGATACAAAATCTATCAATTAATCAAATATAACTTCAATGAAGTTTGACATTTTTATATTTTTAGATACAAAATCTATCAATTAATCAAATATAATCTCAATTAACGAAATTATTTATGAAAAACAATATTCAAATTCTTGCACTGATATTTTTATGTATTAATTTCAGAATATTCCTTAAATAAATATTATATATATTAACAAATTAATAGTTTTCCTAATTCAAAAATATATAACTGTTTACTAAATATATATGATATGCTATTTACAGTTTATGATATTGAAGCAATATTTTTATTAAGTTAATAATACCACAAAGTTAATTTAATTAACCCTCGATGCAAACACCTTCCCCACCTCCAAGATATCACCAGAGTTTTACTCCCGCGAGCACAAAAATCTCCCCACGCGATTCCCAGCCACGCTGCCACTGTCTTTCCCTCCCTCCGTTGTTCGCCGCTCGTCTTTATTGCAATGAAGTGGATGTACGTATTGCACTTGTTGGGATCAGTTTTTGACTTTTCTTTTGTAACCCTCGACTAGGTGCGTATTTATAATATAATGTGTACGCATCATCAATTTTTGAAAATGATGCATTCACCCAGTAATAATTGCCTATAGAAGTAAATGATACATTATATTATAAATTATACTACATATAATACTATGAATTGATTTACGTAATATAAAATTATAATGTCAGTTCAGTATAAACATTGTGTAAATAAATACTAATCATTTTTTTTTTACCCACCATATGACAGGATATTTATCTATACAATTTTATGATGTTAAAATAATAGAAAAATTAAGTGGAATCGATTTGATTTGAAACCCATATCAATTCTCCAATTTTCTTGGATATTGTCCCTAAGTTGAGGAGAAATAAGATTGAGTAGTAAATAAGTTAACATTTCTAAATTTTGATACGATGTGATGCAATTACCTTATATGATAAAATTGATTTTGATTTTGATTTTCCAAAACCATCGATTAAACATGATAATAATTTTTAAGAGAATATTTAGCAATACAAAACGTAATGATGTATAGATGTTTTAGTTATAATCATAGTACTATTATGATATTTTGTGGTAAACTAAATACAATGTATATTTTTTTTTTTCAAATGATGTTTATATAATCGTAATATGATGCAATATTTTCTACACGTTAAATTTTCATTGTAATAGGTAAGTTTGACTTTCTTACTTCAAAATATACAAGATCTAATGATATCTCAAATCTAATGAGCGATGTATTCAATCATGATTTTGCAGGATTCTACTGGACTATTATGTATTCAATCTTGAATTTTAAAAATATTTTAAAATGTAGAGGTATTCAACTCAAAGTCTTTTAAAATTTGAAGATATTCAATCCAAACTTTTAAAAGTTTTTTAAAATTTGGAGATATTCAATTCTGACATTTAAAAGTTTTTTAATATCTTATGGTATTCAATCACCCATAGACAAGTGTGTGGATTTTATTGGATTTTAAAGAAAAATTATGAACAAATTGTACAAATAAGTAGAGATTTTGATGGATTTTTAAAACATATATTATTATTATTATTATTAGTGATAATATTTATTAATATTATTATAATATTGTAATAAAATAATAAAAATTTCATATTTTAAAATATGCTAGTGAAAAATAAGTAATAATTTTAAAATTAAAATTTAATAGTAAATTATTAGCATTTTTTTAAAAATATATCTTTTAATTGAAATTTTAAATTAATTATTATTTTTTCTTGCATAAAAAAAAATTCGAATAAATTTAATTTAAAAAATCATGGAGAGGATTTGAAGCCAAGACACTTGGCTTGTAGAACATTATTCCTCTCCATATTCATTTTATCTTATTGTGTTTTCACATTGAAATTATTAAATTAATAATATATATACACATATAATAAAATTATGCTAAATTATATATTGAATAATAATATTATAAAAATGATAAATTTTAAAATATTAATATACAAAAGTAATATTATGATATAATTATTATACATCATTAATAATATATAATATATATTCATATAAACTTTAATTTATAAAAATGTAATACTATATATTTTGTATTTTTATTTAGTTATTCAAAAAAAAATATCTACAAATGTGTTTCATATAAATTTATACAAATTATATAAATCAATAAGAAAAAAAATTTACAATCCTATGAAATATGTATAAATCCATAAACAATCTAATCAAATCTAAAAAAAATCAATTTAAATCAATACATAAACTTCATCAAACTCTACATAGAGCACGTGAGTTTTCTAAATCAGAAATTTATACACTTTTTAAAATTCAATAAAATCTTAAATTAATACTATTTATTTTTACACAGTAAAATCTAAAATCATCCCAATGAAATAATTCCGATCGCAATTTTTTTTTCTTCCCACAATATATTCTATTGAATATCCATATTTTTAATCAATTTTGGTGATGATTTAATAACTCCTACTTGTGACTACTGACATGTTGGATAAACAATATAAGTATGCTTTATTTATTTATTTAATTTTTTTATTTTTATGACGTGGGAACCTGCAGCCTCTACCCGAAAGTGCGCACGGGATAAACCCCCGGCCAAACCTAATACCCTACCTAATACCCTGCAAACTAGGCCGGACGGGAAAGTCACACTAGGCGAACAATATAAGTATGCTTTATTTATATGTATAATATGATGTTCAAAGAGTAAATGTATGATATACAATAAAGTCACCACTACGTTACATTTGTGATAAACGAAAAAAAAACAAATACTATATTCACGGTTTTTTAAAATTTCATCTTCGATCATGGGGTACTAGTACTCACTGAAATGTACATCATTTTGATCCATCTTCTTCAAAATCCAAATTCATAATTTTCTTTTTCTTTTTCTTCTTTTTTTTTTTTTTTTTTTTGGTATGAAAATGATCTTGCTTGAATTTATGATCACTAACCTAATAAAGAAATGTAATATTTATAGATACATTTTCTTAATTTATGCATAAATTTATGTTGTTGACTGTCCATCTTTCATCCAATCTCATGACTGTGAAAACAAAAATATATCATTAAGTTGCAGTAATTAATTCATATTGGGAAAACAAAAATCAAAGCATTGATAGTTATAGCACTAATTTTAAAATATTTGTCATAACATCATAGATTAAAATTATTTTGACTTCAAATCTATACGCTTAGAACAGAGCAAAATAAGAATATTTGTACTAATAATAATCATATACTTGACAAGTTAGCATAATTTGTATAATTTATTTTCCTACAACATATCAAATTCAAAAAGCATTTTAACCTGAAAGTTCACCACATCTCCTAATCATCAGCCAATTGAAAAATGGCCTCAACCATATCTATCTTTCAACGCTCGAGCCATTGGATTTGGGCCGAGGCCACATTGGTGCTGCTGCTTCGACCACCACTAAAGTTTCCTTGACCCTTGAATCTATCACTTTGGAAACATGTTTTGCGGCTGTTGCATAGTTTCCTTGACCACCACTGCTGAAGTTTTCTTGCGCAACCTCCATGTGCTGCAATAAACCAAAAGGTTTCACATCCGATGCCCACTTAATATTGTTCAATATACAAAATATATAGTAGCATAAGAGAACAGAACTCCAAAGCATCTTCCAGCAGCCTTTAAAAATTATTTCCAAGACTTCTAAGGATGGCTTGTCTGAACTTAATACCTCAACTTGTTGAATCATTTACTCCATTTTTACGTTACATGTAAATATACCGGTGCACGCTAAACAAAACTAGAGATGGAGCCTGACATCGGAAAAGAGCAGCATTCTAATTGCCTAGTCCAGAAAGTGAAAGCGGATTGGACAAACATGAGAAACTTAGGCTACTACCCAATAAAATGATCCCAAATAGATGAAACGGATATTTCTTTCTACAAATGAAAAAAGGGACGTCCCAAACTCACATCGAGTAGAAGCCTAGCCTAAAGATTAAATTTGTATCCCTGCACATGAATGCAGAGCTATCAAAAAATATCTGCAGTGATAACTAATGTAAAAGTCAATGAAAAATTAATTTTGGATGAAGCATTTCAAATGATATTGATTCGATGGTTTTATAGAAAAGATCGGTAAATATTACTAGACTAGGTCAAGGCTCTCGTCTGAATCAAGCACCAACGGACCATCTTGTACAGCCCTTCTGTAGCCGAAGAATGAATGAGAATCTCAAAACCTTGAAAAGAATGGAAAATACAATACAACTGTATACAAGAATAAAGGGGGCAGAGCACCATGGGGTGCCAATCGCCAACGAGATGAAGATGATCTCTTATTATATGTATCACCCCTATTACGTCTGTGAAAATTTCATGTTGGGATGAAAATTTCTATGCAGCTACTAGAGAAAACACACACGTATATTTCACGAGGTTCTAACCAAAGACTATTACTGCAAACAAGCAGAGGCTGAGGCAAAGGCTTATGAATGAAAGCGTTACAAATTTATGAATATTTTTATTGTCACACAACGAAGGCAAAGCCCTTTTCCAACTTTTGGGCTATTGTCGCATATGCTGACATGCATGTGCAAAATGAATTTAACTCATCAAAATCCTAGACATAATAAATGTTACTGACAGCTCAATATTGATGTCAGCGTTGTGTTGTATGCGGAAAACACTGCTTGGGTCATTCACACATGGTATTGAAGGAAACAATAAAAAATCCACACAACATGGAAAAAGCTTTTAATTAATTAAGAGATTAAGTAATTTTAGCATAATAATATGAGTACTATAGGTTGATCAAACCACCACTCAAACATATAAAAGCATTCTCAAAATTGACCCATAACTGCATAAAATCTCAATGTGCACGGTAAGCATGCATTACATAAGAAAGTACAAAAAGAGATGATTCTTTATATATACTCATAGCCACATTCATCCACCAATGTGTTGTAATTTGGCAAATGAGTATTGTAGAATTTACTTGGTATACATTGAACAACGTTGATTAGCTATTCTTAGCTCAAAACTATTTCCAACCAATATTCATGGAGCATACATTTTGGGTCAATGTGGAGAAGTTTGAACACAAAGACTAAAATATTGAATAGAGCATACATTTTCCAAAACAGGTTGTGATCATGTTTTATGTATATATCTGGTTTCCTCTTAATTTTCCTTCAGACCATAAATCTCCACTCAAATGAGTGAAGAAATATGTATATGTTCCCTGAAAGACAGGGTTTAAAGACACTATTTTTGAATTTTTTTCTAAAATATTTAAATTTTTCAATTTTTTTTTTTTTATCAGGATGTACCATGAATAAAAAAAACCACATTGAATGGATAAAAAGAAAAAAAATGATTTCAAAGGCCAGCATGTTTAAGTTGATATTATATTAAGTATATTATATCACACACAATAATGAATGTCACATATCAATTCCACCTCAACCTACCTCTCACTCTCCCTATGTTCCAGAATATGTTGTCTTGATCTCATATCGTCTATCTTGTGTCTTGTCTCATCTCATTCCTCCACCTGAAACAACCAAAACAAACAAATTAAAATAAATTAAATATAAAAAAATTAAAATTATCTGAAAAATGGAAAATTCAACCAAAACAAACAAACAAATTAAAATCAATTAAATATAGAAAAATTAAAATAATCTAAGATGGTAAAATTGAATGAATCAAGCTCAAAAACCACTTACCAAAGAATTAGAACCATTCAGAAAGCCCTAATAAAAAAAATAAACCCTAATCATAGCCTAGATGTGTTTTTGAAAATCATTCCCTACTCACTAAGCACCAACAAAAGCATAAACTTGGGAATGTCTTGGATAATACAAATGAGAGGAGCGGAGTCCTTTTATAGGACAAAAACTCTACCCGAATCTAAAATATTCTAGGTATTCCCTAATTTTAATGCACCACTTTTGAGACTTTCGAAAAGTTAAATCACTATTATTTAGTTAGCCTTATCTGTTTTTAGAGAGTTAAAGAGATAGTTCTAGAATGTATTTATAATTTTTATTTATTTATTTGTAAATTTATTCTAGACTCTTCTTTATTTTTTTATTATTATTATCTAATGTTTTAGTTACTTTTTATGACATACTATATTTATATTTATATTATTAAATACCTTTATTTATGTATTTTTTAATTAATTTGTTAACGGTATATTATATGTTTTATTTTATTAATATTTATTATATATATTACTTTAATTATTTTATAATTATTATATATTAATTGTGCTTGCTTTTTAATTTAAATAAAAAACTATACCACAACCACCAGATTTTAATAAAAATATATTATTTTATCTAATAAAATTATTGTACAATATTAAATATTATTTAAATAAAAATTCAAACAAAAACTCACTTTAAAATCAAAACAAACAAACCCTTTATAAATAAAATATTTTAAATTTTTATTTTTTGCATAATTAAAAAGGATATATAAATATATTAAATACATATTAATTATATCATTTATATATATTATTTTTGAGATTTTAAAATCTAAATATATATGCACTTAATTTAAATGATAATAGGAAAATCTTATGATTTATTTGGTTTTGATTTGAAAATTGTATTTTTTTATTTCACTTTTTGTTTAAATAGTATATTAATATGATATTTAATATTGATTTGTATTTAAAATAAAAAAAAACATACAAACTTTTATCTAATATGAAATACTTTTATTTTGAATGATAAAAGGGAAAAAAAATACACTATTTTCTCTTGCTAAGCATTTTTTTAAAATACTATCTAAATAAAAATTTAAATCAATATCTCATTTCAAATTAATTTCAAACCACAATCAAACAAACCCAACCAACATCATAAAAAATACGGTAAGAACGGAGTCCCCATAGTTATTTTACTTTAACCCCTAAGTGTCTTCGGTACTTGCATTTTTGTGATCTTAATTATGACATGCACTTTTACATTTGTGTGGTCTAAGCTTTATTGTTGTTTACTGTGGATATGTGCTCATATATGACCCATGATTCTACGTACAAACAACGGTTGTTGTTGATCCTTGTATTTTAAGTAAATATAGTCTTTACTTATTTCATAGATTCTATTGTACTATATTTTAAACTATCAATGGATTTGTTTAATGAGGTAAAATTATTTTTTTTCTATCACTATGAAAACTCTCCAAGCTATTGAAAGGAATGACAGACTCTTCACACCACATGGAAAGACATTGCATTAAGAATAAAGTAGCTAGCATGACGACAAAAGTAACTAACGCAGCCAATCATTTATAATGCATCAACATTATATTTTTATATTTTGGTTCTAGAAAAGCGCAAGAACTTGGCATTGTCAAAAGCACGGATTGAAAACAGGAATTAGTTATCAGAATTTGAAAATGCCAATTTGCAAAGCAGGAAACTAACCAACGCAGCCACATAATATTTTTTTACCCCAACAAAACGCAACCGGGTAGCATTGTCGAAACTACTGTTTTCTGTGATCATATATTGAAACATGCAATTGGAAAACATGGAAACTAACTAACTAATGCAGCCGCATTATATTTTTTCGACTCTGAAGAAATATATGGCATGTCAAAACTGCAGTTTTTCAATGTAGCAGAATTATTGAAGTTCCACAAAACCAAAACAGAACCATTTTCGCTGTAAAAAGGGATAGAATTTAAAATTAGTATTAACAGATGTAAAGCAAATACGAAAACGCAGTATGAATATGTTGTGCGTTTGGGCAACCTTGTTAGTTCTAGGGTACATAGCTACTCAGTATATATTAAGATTTATAACATCTAAGGCATTCATTCAAAAAAGTTGAAACATTATAATATTGCTGCTGTAAATTAATTCCACACACTCAAACTTATATAGCACATTTAGCCAAATTAAAGGCTTCTTTCTTCTATATATCTGCACGCAGAAAAGCATTCGCAAAGTTGACGGTACACACTGTATGCATGATATATGTAACAATTAAATAGAAATGTAGAAGGAGATATGATTCTCATATACTCGGACAATGTATTATATATAGATTTTAACTCAATGTATTCCACCAATGTAAGATGGGTTGCGATTTGGCAAATGAATATTGTAGAATTTACTTGGTATACATTGAACAAAATTGAAAATATGCATAAATTGTTGGCTGAAATTGACCTTGATTGAAAGTATTAGCTATTCTTAGCTCAAAATTATTACCAGCCAATGGTCATGGAACATACATTTAGGGTCAATTGGGGAAAGTTGTACACAAAGACTAAATTAATGAATGCCACCCAGGAGCGTTTGGGGAATGTTGGGCTTGTTTATTTCCCAAAACATACTGTGATCTTGCTTTATGTATATATCTGGTTTCCACTCTCGACCCGAATGCCACAATGTGCTCTAGGATCTCGTCATACTTTTTTCGCAATAGATATCCTAGTGTTCATCTTTACTCTGTTGAACTTCAGAGATCAGAGACACTGCTCAGGCTTCCGGTGTCTGCAAGAGATGGCGAGCTGCTGCAGCCACTGTCCAGAATTTGG